GCCTCTAAGCTCTTCCTCTGCACTAAGCATCAGCAGCGTCTAAAAGAACAGATGTTCTCCACTGGAGGTTTATTACAAGCTGGGTGTTTTTCTATAGACACAAAAAAAAGGTTCTTGTTGCAGAGTCCTTCGATCTGTGAAATGAGACCAGCTGTCTTGTCATCCGGGCGAGAACAATTTTTTGCTGTCATTGTGCTTCGTCCCTGTTAGCTGAGCCGTGTTTTTTCACCTCGATCCCCTTGTGAACCACAGCCAAGTATGGACTTGATCATCTTGATCAGCATCACAGCTGCTGTATTGGCACAGGGCTTGGTGCATGGCTACTGGAGGGGGGAACAGAAGAGTGTTTGGGCAGAGGTCAGCAAAGTGAGGATGGGAGAAGGCAGAACAAAGGACCAGAGGGAGCACAGTGGTTTGATGCACCGGCTCCCGTCGTCATATGCGTCCCGTCTGCACTTCTGTCGCCATCTCCATCAATTCCGTCCTCATCAGCTCCGTGAGTCAAATCAAATCACCCGTCTCCATGTTGTGGCGTTCCCACACACTGTCCAGGCTGCGTAATGCGTCCTGTTTGTGGGACTCTGTGTGACTTATTCATCACGGCCCGCACACAGCCTGCTGCTGCTAAGATGTGATCTGCATGCAGCGCCCTCTGTGTCGAACACCATCCATCCCTCAAGCCCTCCCACTTCGCCCCCTCTTCAATTACTCGTCAGAGACCCCATGTGCACTGTATTATTGTGAAGTGTGTATTATGTGAATTGTGTATTACTGCACTATTATGATTATAAGTGGCTCTACGTTGTCATTACTTTAAGGAACATCAATAAAACATCAAATCTCTGCATTAACACACATTTTTAAATCAACCATTTATCCATTTTTTTTACTCATGTTCTATTCACAGTACATATAATAATATTGACTGTCAAAAATCAAACTGACGAATCAGATTGTCGTTCAAGTGACACTGGCACTTCTTCATCTCACTTAGTAATTTCTTGCCACATCCCCATTTGTCATCCTTCCTCCCGCTGTGTACTTCCTCAGCTCTGCATCTCAAAACATCGGCAACAACTTTGCAGAATCTGCTGCACAATCGCACTGAAAGATGCACCGTGATCCCTTTGAGGACCGTCTGAGCTGCCAGACCCCCCCCACACCCCCACACCCCCATCCCGACTCCAACACACAGAAGATAGAGGAAGCTCAGACTGGTTTAGCACCATTTCCTGTTGTGTCAGAGGAGTTTGTGCGTGTTTCGGCAGACGGATCCGGTTCCCCCTTTTTTTACCTCTGGTCTTACAGTCCGTCTCAAATTCCCTCCGCCTACCTTCACAACCGGACTGTTCGCTCAGCCATGAGGATGGCGTCCATGGAGGGGGAATTATAAAACAATCCGGAAGCTGTGTGTCTGCTGTAGCACCTGACGGGCGCCGAGCATCGCCATGCGGCGTGTGCTCAGTACCTTCCGTGGTTACAGAAGGGCCGGGGAGGACGACGACGACGTATTCGTGTGCGGCCCCAGGAGCAAGGTGACTATAGACCGGGGCGGGGGGGTGGGGCTGCTTTGGATATCATGTCCCCTAACAACTCATTACCCGGTGTCCTTTTCTTCCTCAAGGTTCCGTTTGTACTTGGAGCCTCGGCGCCGCTGCCAGGCCTGTTGGGTTTTAAACCGTTGAATTGAATTCCAGTTGAAATGGGCGCTGTTCTGAAAGTACCACACGCTCGCTGACTCTGCCAGTAAAACACTTGATACAGGCTTCAGTGAGCCTTTTTCTGTAGGAAAGAGGCCTTGCTGTCTCCTGCTGGTCCAGCCATGTGTTGGACTTTTCTCTCAGCATATGCTGCACGGGGCCTTTCGCTCTCACACAGCAAAAAGAGGGCACGTATTGTCCCACAACATCGTTTCTATTTTAAGATTCGAGGGGGAAGTCGGTCACCTATCTTCATGAAGGGAACAATACGATGGAGGTGTTTTTAGCTCATTTTGATTCACCCGGGTGTTTCTTTTTCAATCAATACAGCTTTTTTTACTTTTATTTCACTCAGCCATATCCGCTCAAGCTGTCCCTGTATCCTGGCAGCAGCACACGAGGCAGATACGCTGTGAAGACCTTATGGTCCTCTGTTCTTTTAGTGCCCATAGTGACATTTGTAAGATTCAGCTTTGCACTCTATATCTGCTTCTACCATCGCTGAACGCTGACAGGAGGCGACTGTATGGCGCAACATGGAGGGGAGTCGACATTATATTTTGTCAAAATTATTTTAAAAGTAGAAGCACTTTACTTTGTTTTCCTGTTGTTATTGTTGTGGAGTTTTTCATTACAGAACAACATGGAGGGCTGTTGTGTTGACACAAAGCTCCACTTTCTGTGTGGCAACGGCTTCATAACAACATGAAAACAAAGTAAAGTGCTGCTACATTTAAAATCATTTTGACAAAATCCAAGGTCAACTCCCCTCCATGTTGCTCCTCCCGTCAGTGTTTACGTAGAAGCAGATACCAAGAACCCTTAACCTGCTCTCTCATCCTTATGTCAGAGGTCCAAACTTCAAACGGAGATCTAAATTAACGGTCAAATGAAAAAGGCCGTGGGAACAGACCAAAGTGTTAAAGACTGTATTTTGTGTGTCCTTGAGATCTAAACGTGTTGGATGTGTTTCACTCGTCTTCTAACATTTGCCATATATTTCTAACCTGTTTACTTGCAAGCTTGTTTCCTTCTCCTTCTGTTGTTGTTGTCACGTTGCCTCTTTCCGTGGCACTGTACTGCCTGTGGTGGAATAGTGTGATACTATTTGCTGGACTGGTGCTACTTTAGTTCAAAACCTCCACAAAGCAGGTCATATATGACCGGGTCTGAATCTCCTCCGTCAGGGTTGGATCGGGTCTTTGGCTATGTGTGTGACATTAATCCCTGTCTTTCTGCTCGAGCACTACTGTTGAGTCGGTTCTGTAGTGACTTCTGTGGTTTCAGAGGAAGCTTTGTCTGATCTGAGAAAACGACCCCGTCACCACCAAGAAAACTGTAGGGTTGCGTTCTGTTTTTATGGAGCTTGAGCCATCCCTCCATCCCATCATTGCACTCAATCATGTGCATTTTGGCTTGATCGCTCCACATTATTCCACAAAAACCCGCCTCCTCTGGTTCTGTTTGACTCCATGGCCCGAGTGCTCCCTGTGCGCTGGACTGAAACTTAGAAAGCCTGCAGGATGTTAAATAATCATTTGTGTGAGAAAATGTTCCTGTTGTTATTGCTAAAACTCTGCAGGATGTCCCATCTGTGTCCTGAGGACAGTTAAGTCCTCTGAGCCCCCCCATCCCTCCACACACACACACACACACACACACACACACACACACACATTCCACCTGTAGCAAAGGGGTTGAGGAGGGGAGTCTCATACAAACTACTCTGTGGTTGGCTGTTTAATCCCCCCCACCCAACAAAAATGTTTTCAGAAACATAGCACAAGAAATCAAATGCTCTAAGGTGTATCCATGGTAACGTAGCTTTCCAGTGGCCTTCGGATGCTGCCAAGTTCTCAGAGAGCGCCTCTGAAGTGCGTCTGCACTGACGCTGCAGAGGCCTCGTTTGTCACGAAGTCTGTCTGCAGCTCTTGATGAGAAAAGCGCGTCCAGCAAGACGTGTTTCTGAACCCGTCACATCCTGTGAATCAGAGGGTTGTGAAAATTATTTATTTGTGATCCACAACATTAAGGTGGAGCTCGATGAGAAATACTGCTCTTCTGTCCCGCTTTACCCAAACAGTGAATTCTTGCTCCAGCCCAAAGATTGGGAGTATGTGCAGTGTGATTGTGTCATGAAGCTGTGTTCAGTAACCACCGGTGGAACAAAGACACTTTGTAGCCAAAGGGCTGCTTTGGCCAATCAAATACTACTACGATTACCCCATTTATATTGCAATCGTCATGGCAACAGGGTTTACCGGTTGTCACACACACACACTTCCTGCATCTTCTCCCCCTCTCCACTGCGCTGCAGAAAGGCTTTCAGCAGGAGTTGGGTTCAGATCTCAAGCTTTGGCTCCTCCCCTTGTGCCTTTGGTCAGTTACAGAATTGATTTTTAAAAATTGACCTTAAAGACATGGAAGCAGCATCCGATAACCAGTGACCAAGTGATTGCAAACATTGCAGAACAGGGGTCTTCAACGTTCTTCAGGCCAAGGACCCCTAAACTGATGGCGAGATGGAGCAGGGACCCCCTATTCAACGGACTTTGATCCGCCATCTTTTATTTTTGAGCTTAGCGCTCTTTAGACGTGATCTGATTGGCTAGTGCCCGTGCTGTCGTATTCGCATGAAAGGTGCCGTGAGTGAGCCGGTGCCCAGCGTGAGAGCTGCTGTGGGAAGCTGAACATGTGTGTTGTGGACTGAAAGATAACGTCTTCTACATCATCTTATCCGTTCACTACAATATGTTGGATTCATGTTAAAGTGTATTTAAAGACAACAAATACAATTTAAATTTGTGGGGAGAAAATTGGTTGAAGAAAAATTGTCTTATCAACCAAAAATTTCGCAGCCCCCCTGCAGTACCTCCGCGGACCCCCTGTTGAAGACCTCTGCTCCAGAGGAACTTTTGAAAAAGCTTCCTGTAATTCATTTGCTTTCCTTGGCTTTTGTATTTAATTTGTATTCCTCAAATTAGCGGTCGCAAGCTAATGCCAGCAGCATGTGCCCCGGGTCACTGAGCAGACCTCCAAACGATTGTTACTGTGCCCAGTCAGAGGACCTGATGGGAGTCAGACTGAGGCCTTCCGTTTTTAAAATATCTGCAAGCCTTTTTGCGCCGTGCAGACCGCCAGAGAGACTCGTACTCACAGCTCCTGGAGAGGTTGTGGAATTCCTTAAATACCATTGAATTTGTAGAGGACACTTGTCCTAAGAAATACTTTATTAAAAACCGAAGAAGCTGCATAGAGTTGTTGACATGATCTGACCTCATCTCTCCTCTCCTCCACCAGACAACATCACCCACGGGTCAGGGCCGCTCCGACTCGCCGGTTTACACCAACCTCCAGGAGCTGAAGCTCTCTCAGTCCAGCCTGCCAGCAGTCCCCTCCAGCTCTCCTCTGCATATCCTGGGCGACTGGGAGACTCACAAAGACCTCAGCGGCAGGCATTTCTACTACAACAGAGCGAGTGGCGAGCGGACCTGGAAGCCGCCCCGCACCAGGGACGCCAGTGGCAGCACCAGCAGCGCCAGGGGAGACGGCCAGGGCACGGCGAGGGGCGAGGTGAGGCGGTGCTCGGGTCAATGAAAGTAGGCTAGTTGTTATTTATTTTGATACGGAAAGAGGCAGGTGAGACTTTAATTTGAATGGTTGTCCATTGTCCAAGTCTTGTGTTAATTGTTTTCTAGAAAAAACAGGATAATTCTTTTGAAGTTACTTTTATTTTCATCTGTGAAACGGGTTAGGAAAAGGTTTTGGCAGTTGACAACTTTTTTCTCCTTGTTTCACATATTTTTTTGATTTTTAAGGAACATACATGGATTATCCACCTGTTAAGTAGTCACATATTATTTTACCTTACTTGCCTCTTCCGTAGCAGCGTACACAACACCACCACAAAGTCCCTCCAGCCCTATTTAGACAGCGTTAGGTGTGTGTGATCACATGACCCGGAGGATGGAGCGAAGTTGTTACGTGAGCGAAAATCCGCGGACATAAACAATCAGCATTGGACCTCTAATCACTTGACATGTGGTCACTGGAGGAAAGGAAACTAGTCTTGGTTTCCTGTCAGGTTGTAGTTTTCGTCCCAGCTATCCAACAGCGCCCCAATGTGGTGGTTGGCTTTGGAGCACGATGTTTGTGAAAGAAAACTGGTTATCATATATATAGTATTATAGGAATATAACCATGTATTGCTCTGTCAATAAACATCAATTACTCAACATAAATGTAGAACTTAATTATTTAAGCTTTCACAATCTCAAAAACGCCTTTTTTCAATATAATAATAAGTGTGTTAGCTTTTATTTGTATTTCATAGACAGTGCCCTAAATGTATCGTACATGTTAATAGTCTCTTGTCCCATGTCCTCCACAGCCACTGTCCTCTGAGGAATTCTGTCACAGCACCCACTCGAGTCAGTCTGACAGCCAGTACGGGTCGCCCCCTAGAGGCTGGTCCGAGGAGCTGGACGAGCACGGACACACGCTCTACGTCTCCGAATACACGCAGGAGAAGGTTAGCACTAGATGTCATTTTAATATGTACCCTTTCAAATTTCTCTCGCATTAAATATGCAGATGTGTTCCCCATTTTCCTGAATACTGGTGTTTGCGTTGGCAGTGGATAAAACATGTGGATGAACAAGGGCGGCCCTACTACTACAGCTCTGACGGGTCGAGGTCCGAATGGGAACTGCCCAAGGTGAGACAATCTAATGAACATGAGCTTGTCCTTCAGTTTCCCTCCATCTCTCGCTGAACACACTCTGCTGGGACTCCTCCCACTTTGCATGCTTAAGTTGCGTCCTGTTGATGTAAGTGGATGAGCTTCTGACGAGCTCCCGCCCAAGCCCAGTTTAGGTTGAACCCCGGGTCACAGGCCCATTACCGGCCCTTAACATACTAATCTGAGTAGAGCGGCTCCTGAGTAAACAGTACGGCGGACAGCCGCACACAATGCCCGGGCTGTAAGCACAGTTCCTTTCAATGGTGCTGTGGACAGTGAAAGGAGAGGTAGGGCAGAGGACACATACCGACGGGGTGCGCTGTAGGAGCCCCGTGACCTCTGAGAACTCCCGTCTCTGTCTCCGCAGTACAACGTCTCCCCTCAGTCCGGCGAGGTCCCCAAGAGTCGCAGTCTGGAGAGGAAGCAGCAGGACCCCATCGTCCTCACCAAGTGGAGACACAGCACCTACGTGTTGGACCTCAACGACAAGGTAAGACATGCGGCAACGCAGCCCGTAGGGTGCGATCGCCATGGAAACAGGAGCCCTTGTTGCTCTTTTTTTTCTGGCAGGCTGTCTGCTCTTTCCATTACCTGTCTTTCATTTGCAGTGAGTTTAATCCCAGAGGGCTAATGACGTGCTCATGAACATGCTCACAGCGGATGTGTCTCCTTTACTTTTGGAATATTGGATGATAAGGATGGTGTATTATAAAAAAACAGGTTTATGTACGTGCAAGTGTTTTAAGCAAACTCGTTTTAATTGTTGTGGTGAGAGAATGAAACGCCAGTGTCTGCAATGATCACAGGTACGTTCTGAGCAGATTTAGTCTGTCATCTTAGTTAGTGTTGTACTAAATTAAAGCTGCTTTTAGTCCTTACTATAACTCGGGCTCCTTATTTTAGTTATTGGAGTCAGTGGCACACCTTCCAGATGTATTGGTGGACTTTTATAGAGCAGTTTCCAGATGGAAGGACACATACGGGAGGCTAACTCTGTGGCAGTTTCATTGCAGTTCTTTCTCAAACTCTGGCAGTGCACCTCAGATGTGCTCAAGAGGAGATTGCATCCCTCTCTCTGCCGTGATAAAGTTGGTACCACGCAGAGCGTCTCCTCTAATCAACAGGCGATCCGTGCTCATTCCACTCCAGTGTGTCCTGTAGATCAGCGGTCCCCAACCTTTCGTACACGTTCGTTCACGTTAGGCAATATTTTTCGTAGCAATCTTGAAGGTGTGCCGGATAAACATGGCCGACGGGGAAGGGGAGGAAGTAGTAGTCGTTGGTAGTCGACATGTCGAAGGATGAACGCACGTAATTAGGAGAGAATCCTGTCAATTTTAAAATAATCACAATATTCAAAATAAAACCCATTTTTCATTTTCTTTCTGTGCGGTCTGGTACCAAGTGGCCCACGGACAGGTACCGGTCCACGGCCCGGTGGTTGGGGACCCTGCTGTAGAACATCTCGTTAAATCGCTGTTGTTGATCAAAGCTGTGTGACATGAATAAAAACAGTAAATAAAGCAGCCTCCAGATATCATCTCGAACTCTGAATGAACTTCTATCAAATGCAAAATTTCAAACGCATGCTGTTTTTTTACCCTGAATCCTAACTCCTTCCCCTCAGCCTTCCCTTTTGAGCACCCCCACTAACCCGGACTGTGATCCGTCCTCTCTCCGCACTAACCTGTCTTCATGTGTCTCGTAGTTCTTAGCGACTCATCATGTGCCTCTTGTTGGCAGGAGTGTGCTCTGGCGCCCAAGCAGAGCTCTCAGGACTCTGACTCCTGCCCCTCATCTCCTAAGCATACCTCAACTGTTAGTATCCCAGCATGCACTGCAGCGCATCGCAACTTTTCACTGGCACCCAAATGAAAACACATCTTTCTGTCCATTGCATCTTCTTCTCATCTGCATAATGCCACATCTGACACGTGTCACATCTAAAGCCTCACATCTGATCCCATCACATTTTGCCGTCCCACCGCCACATGCAGAGATTTGCTTGCCGGCGGTGTTGGGGCGGCCTCCGCTGATAACATTTGGAAACGTCCCATTAAGTCCCATTTCCTTCTCGATCTCCTGCGTGTGTGTGTGTGTGTGTGTGTTTGCAGTACAAGTCAACCGTTTGGACACACTTTCTCATTCAAATGAATCCAACCTTTTGACTGCTGTGTGGGTGTGTTTTTTCACTCAATGTGTTCCAGCAGCTCCTTACCTACTTTGTCTCCTCAGCCCTCGGAGAAGTGCGGAGTCCTAAACGTAACAAAAATCACAGAGAATGGAAAGAAAGTTAGGTGGGTGACAAACTTTTTCAAAATCTAGAGACGGGTATGAAATTCAAACCCTTTCTAAGACACGCTTTACTATAACCTACAGGAAGAACTGGACCTCCTCGTGGACAGTGCTGCAAGGTTCCTCCCTGCTTTTCGCCAAGGGCCAAGGGGGCAGCACCAGCTGGGTACGTATCCCAGCAGCCCCGGGACTTCCACATTCCTGTGACGCTCAGCTTTATCTTCTTGTTTAGCCTTGCCTTTCCGTTCCTCTCTGTGTTATTTCTCTCTCTTCTTCATTTGCCATCCGTGCTGTGAAATGTGTCCTCCTGTTCATCGCATCTCCTCCTCTCCTCCGGAAGTCGTACTACCGCAGCGGCTCCATCCCCGAGCTGCTCCTCACTCTCCTTAGCAACTGGAAGCGCTCGGTCAAGCCCCGTCCTGCTGTCTCCTATGTGAACTGTAGGCCTGTGCAGGCTCCCGCTGTATGTTCCTCTCTGCACGTGTGCCGCTCCTCCTGCCTGTCTTTCATGTCTTCCATTCCCTTCTGTCCTAACTGATGGGGACTTTGGTGTCTCCCTCGCTGTGTGTGTGTGTGTGTGTTTAAAGCTTTAGGCACTAATCCGTATTATTTTAATCACAAAATAGATCAAATGATTGTGTATAACATGAACCAGGCGGGTCCCCATCTACCTCACTACCGCCACAGCACCACACCGCAGACACAGACTTTGTTACGAGCTAACGTGGGCTAAAGAGCCCTCAGCAGTTGGTAGTGAAACCCACGATGAGGAGAGCGAATACTGGACTCAGCTTTTACGTTTCCCATAACAACACTCATTGATTTTCTTAGTTAAGAAGAAAACATATCAAATATGACGCTATTGTAAGCTTTACATGTTTGACTTATGCAAGGAAAGACATACAACAAGGTTGACTCTTTGCAAACATCCTCCTCCAAAACAGGAGACAGGAGCTGGTCAGATTGACCAGCGTGTAATCGTAGTTTCACTGTTAATAACATGAGACAATAAAATCATTATTCTGTAGATTATTTATTTTCCCAAATCGCTCATAATGTTTTGGTAATAATGTGTAAGCATAACAGTGTCACAAGACCTTAACTAGATTTTTAAAACCATTTTGTGTATTAAGTATCCAACCATAAGTGAATTAATAAGCGCAATGTATAAATAACAAAAACTAACAATGCTTTTTCTTTTTGTGTGAGGTGGAAATTCACATGACAGAGTTTCTTGCTTTTAACACAAATGTGTCTGTTGTATCGTCTTTGTCACACTCATACGTTTTTGTTGTTTCCAAAAGTTTGGGGGCAACCAGTCGAAGCCAGAGTTCACCGTTGATCTGAGAGGGGGGGCAGTGGATTGGGCCTCCAAGGACAAGTCGAGCAAGAAGCACGTCATCGAGGTACGAAGCCACAGCCATCTGCCATCAGGGCTTCTCCCTAGATCGGAGTCAGAAAAGTAATGGTGACTCTCCTCCTCCCCCCCAGCTGAAGACACGTCAAGGGACGGAGCTGCTGATCCAGTCAGAGATTGACAGTGTCATCAACGACTGGTACCGGGCCCTCACTGAGACCATCAACACACATGTGAGGGGGCCACTCCCTAGTTTCTCCTCTTTGTTCCTGCTAATGCTAATTGATCGTTTTTTTCCTTGCTGTATATATATATGTGTGTGTATGTATACATGTATGTATATGTAGATCTAGATATAGCTCTCTGCAAAGGCAGCTGACTCCTTTTGTAATTTTACATCACAGAACTGGTCTATTGGTGCCTCCATCAGTTAGTTAGTTACTTAGTGTTATTGTGTGACTTTTAAGCAGCCAAACTAAAACCCCAAAGTCACACAATCAGCAACTCCCTGGTTTTCTACCAGATCCAATTAATTTTATTTTGTATAGCCCAAAATCCTAATTACAAATTTGCCTCAGAGGGCTTTACAGTCTGTTACTCGTCTCGAAACCCACACATCGGCACAGAAAAAACTCCTCAAAAAATGAAATCCCTTCCATGGGGAAACAAGGGAAGAAACCTTAGGGAGAACGTCAGAGGAGGGATCCCACTCCCGGGATGGACAGACTACAATGGATGTCATGTGTACAGAATAAACAATGTAAAAGATGTACAAGACTTTCCCTAAAGACTAGGAAAGGGTAATGTTGGTTTATGATGACAGTAAGTATAGTATAGAAGTATATGATTCATATTTAATGATGATGATGATGATAGCAGCAGCAGGGGTCAGCAGGGCCTCGGTAGGAGGCAGGTTGACTTACTGTTTTCAGTGTGTGAGTCTGGTGGCTTTGAAGAGAACCTGGTTGGATATTAGAAAAGGTCTCACTGGAAAATGAAGTGGTGTAAATATTCGAATTAAGTCCACATTGGTACTTTATGTACTTTCCAAATGGTATCTACTGCAGTAGTACCCTGACTATGGAGTAGTACTAAATACAACAGCGCTTCTCAAAATCTATAATTCCTTCTGTTGGGACTTGAACACGTGTGTCTTCTCCTATTCAGGCCTGGGAGTCGGATGAGGCCATCGAGGAGGACATGCCTGAGTCTCCGGGGGCTGAGAAACAGGACAAGGAGAAGGACCACCGGGACAAGAAGAACAGAGGTGAGGCCGACATCCTGTCACAGTGTTTATTATTGTTGTCTCAAAGAAATATGGTCACATCCCCCCTGTCTTCCTTAGTGATGAAGACCTCTGTGAGTATGGACTCATCAGACCAGAAGAAAACCCGGCTGAAACTCAAGAAGTTCCTGACACGCCGACCCACCTACCAGGCCGTCCGAGACAAGGGCTACATCAAAGGTATTTGACCCCTACTTGTGCACGTGTCCGAATACGTGACAGCGTGTCCTCGGTCGCCTGCCGCTCTACAAGTAACCAGCAGGCAATGAATGTGTGCTTGGTGGTTCACAGATCAGGTGTTTGGCTGCAGTCTGACCAGTCTGTGCCAGCGAGAGACCACGTCGGTACCCAACTTTGTCACGATGTGTATCGACCATGTGGAGAACACCGGTATGAGCAGCGCCTTTCTCTACTTTTTCTAAATAGTTGTTTTTCATGCTATTAATGCTTGTAATTGATAGCTCATACAGGTAATATTTATATACATTAATATTCACTTAAAAAAACATTAAAAGGCGCACTTCAGGCCATTAACCACTTGTTGTTTTCCATTGCTTTTGTTCTCTCTGTGAATTAGGGGTGCACTGGACAACATACACCCTAGTCCTTGACTGCACTATGTATCTGAATGTATTATTGATTATTAGTATTAAAATTATTAATATCATCATGTTTTAACTATGTTTAACCCTGGAACAGGATTACATTTTGTCCTTTCTGTGGACCTCAGGGAGATCAGCGGCCGCTAAAGCCTAGTTTATGCTTTTTCCTGAAGGCCGCAAGGCTGCGATTGGTCTGCTAACTACATCCTTTACGGAGTCTCATGTTTCCGGTTTCATAGCATAATACCACCATTATTAAAACGAAGATTTAACGGATCAGATTGAAGAACTTTTGTTGGAAGACATCTGTAAATATCACCACTTATACAACCCGTCATTGGCAGACTATAAGGACGCACGGACGGCCTCTGATTCATGGAGGGAGATCTCCACAAACGTCGGTTTGCCGGTCAAGGGGAACAAAGTTGTGGAGGAAAATACGGGACAAATGTGTCCTTGATGATTAGGTTAGATTCAACTTTATTGTCATTGCACAGGGTACAAGTACTGAGGCAACGAAATGCGGAAAAGCAACAGTGGCGATGCACGGGGCAATAAAGTCTATGATAAATAAATAAACAAACCAACGACTTCCACACACAAAGACGTGACTCTTTAGGTCGTCTTCAACAAAAAACGTTACTCTGCCTGTTGTTCTGGAGGTGAATTGCTCTGCAACACACACACAAGACTTTTAGAACCATGAATTTAAACGAGGGCGCAGACGCATGCGCCAGCCTTTAGGGATCAGCTAATGGGGATACAGTTAATAAGCAAAACTGATCTAAACTGCTTGTTCCTCCTCACTGAGAGCAAAACACTTAACAAGATTACGACTCTTTTCTGTGCTGGCTCCTAAATGGTGGAACGAGCTCTCTGATCACACCAGGACCACAGAGAGCCTTTACTTCTTTTAAACTAAAGACACATCTCTTCAGACTCTACTGTGACTAAAAAGACTAACTTCAATTGGACTTCTAATGTCTCTTATCTATAGTAAGTTGTAAATTGGCTTTTTTGATGAAATTGCACTTTCTTGTTTCTTGCTCTTCTGAGTTTGTATCCATATGGTTGAAATGCACTTATTGTAAGTTGCTTTGGATAAAAGCGTCAGCTAAATGACATGTAATGTAATGTAATGCCTAATGCAGCAAATTAATTGTCAAAACTCCAGTATATAATGTATACGGCATAGAAATTCAGAATGGAATCCAATAGATTGGCTGCCTAGTGAACGATATCCGTTCCTGACATTAGAGTCGGCATCGGACCAATAGCCGTATCAAATTACAAATCAACTACAGCCGCAGCAGCGTTCTGCTTCGTTATGGTCCATCATCCAAAGAGCTGCTCTAACACACACATTGTTGTTGTGTGTAATGTGTGTTGGACATGCAAAGGTACTCATGGGGCTCTGTTCAGCCGGTCAGGAGTAGCGCTCACGGCTCCTCTCTTCCCCTGCAGGCCTTGATGTGGACGGCTTATACAGAGTGAGCGGCAACCTGGCGGTGATCCAGAAGCTCCGCTTTGCTGTGAATCACGGTAGGAGTCTAGCAGCCCTCTACCTCACCACGAACATGCTTCCCATTGGTAGGACATTTTGAGACATCGTCTCTTTTGTTTGGCCTCCCCCATCAGATGAGACTGTGGATCTGAATGACAGCAAGTGGGAGGACATCCACGTCACCACCGGAGCTCTCAAGATGTTCTTCAGGGAGCTTCCTGAGCCCCTCTTCACATACGGATCCTTTGACGACTTTGTAGACGCCATCAGTGAGTGACTTGTTGTCAGATACACTATGACAACGCATAGAGCAAACCTTTACTTTAGGTCCCTACTGTGGCCACAAGATGGCGCTCTGCACATGTGTGTTCATCAACTGTTTCTCTGCTGCAGAGTGCTCCGACTACAAGCAGCGGGTCAACTCAATCCAAGATTTAATAAAGAAGTTGCCAAAACCCAACCACGACACAATGCAAGGTCTCTTCAAACACCTGCGCAGGTGAGAAGGGGCCATTGAGAATTTCTTAAATTTGTACAATGTGGAAGAACTACTTACAACAACATTAGTATATCCTCCTGTTTTATGCATCAGACCGATATTACTGACAGAATTAGAATTTAAGATTCAATCTTACCGTATGATTATACTTATGGCTGTTTATTTAAAATCTATGAATTAAGTGTGTTCTATTTATTTTTAGTCCTTTTCAAATATTTTTCTTTTAAAAATATCTATTTTATATATATATATTTATTTATTTCATGTTGGTGTTATTTTTCATTCACAGTCATTACTTTCATTTGTATTTTGGCATAATTGTTTAATTGGGGGGAAAAAAGGGTTAAAATATGCAACATTTTAGAATGTCTCGAATCAACACCATGTCTGATTTTCATTGGTAAGAAGCTATAACACAAAAAACCATAGCACTTTATCAACTCTTCACAACAACCGATAGAATGATATCAACGACAGAGAAGATGCTTGCTCGTGACATTTCTGACTTCCTTTTGAACCGGTTCTAAATATGGGAATAAATGCAGCTCTATAACCCGGACGGACACAGTCAATTCCTGCCCGGATCTCGACCCGACGATGTGACCAGTCTCGCCCTAGGCGCTCTCCGTCCAAAGTGAGGCTGCTCGTATCCACCATTAAACCTCAGCGTCTCCTTTGGAGCGAGCAGACCCAGAACTGCAGGTTCCCCCTTGTATCCTCAGTCCACTGCAGCCTACGGCTATATTGTACGTTCACGTTGACATTTGCCGAGGTTTCCCATTTGCATTTATATGGCGCCGTGTTTGCTGTAATTCAGTACCTATGAAGTGCTGTTTTCTCAGGGAAATTTATAGCGTGACATTCAGTGTATGAAGTTCTAGGCGGATTTAATCTTCTTTTTTTTCTCTTCCATGAATATGTTATTGTTGTGTGCATCTGCATGCAGGGATGTAGATTATATTTAAAAAGGCTATTATGCTCCAGCCTGGGGCGTTCGCTGGTGTTGGAAGTGTTTGTGAGTGAGCTCCATCTCGGGCCCTGAAGATGTGTGCGAGTGCCGCCACCTTGTTGTTTGTTCTTTTTCCAACATATAACCCCGAATTGTCAAGCAATCCTAAAGCATTTGACACATTCCATGTTTAAACCTATTCTACTTCTCCCCCCAGGGTGATTGACCATGGCGAGGCCAACCGCATGACTACCCAGAGCGTGGCCATTGTGTTCGGTCCCACGCTGCTGCGGCCCGAGACTGAGACGGGCAACATTGCGGTCCACATGGTCTACCAGAACCAGATAGTGGAGCTCATCCTGCTCGAGTACGACAGCATCTTTGGCAGGTAGAGGACGCCCGCCTACGCCGGGACGCCGGGCGTCTCTTCCTCCTCCTCCCCCTCTTTGTTTTTCTTCAACTGAACTGAACAATGCTGTGGACCAAGCGCATGGGAGAAGGAAGGAAACAAATCAGTTACTTTCATTCACAGTTGACAAAAAGTGTTGCACTTACAGAGGAGAAGAATAAAAGAGAAATTTAAAAAAAAGGTGTTACAGATTCCAGCCCTCTGCTCCAGTTGCTCCGCCCCCCAGCAGCAGGGGCGGAGCCACGCAGACAGTGTTTCAGAGTGATGGCGTGTACGTCCGTGTCATGTGATGGATTGGACTTTTCAGGTGTTTCTTTTTTCACATACACTGGATCCCTGTGGTCAGTAAGTAAAAGGCGGCAACCTTTGCTCCCTGAGGGGGGGCCCTCTTCATCATTTTGTGCTTATGTCTGTGATGTGGTTTCCCCATCAGGTGGAACAAAAAAAAGAATAATCAGTGTTACATTAACGGACTGTCTCTTTGGCACTTGGAGGAACTGAAGTTCTAGAGCAAGTTCCCCCCCAAACTAACCTTAGGCGACATCTTCAAACAGCCCCCCCACCCTAACCAGTGTTCACCATTAATCCTGTGATCTGAGGCCCTACAATGGAGGACAACAAGCCCACGTGTGTGTGTGTGTGTGTGTGTCAGTTTGTGGATGTGTGTGAGTGAACTAAAGACTTAGCGAAAGTGCCCTCATCTGGCGGCTTTGTGTCGTGTAGTCTAACGTGCTGTGGTGAAGTTTCTGTTAACGCTGCGGATGGAGATGGGGGAGGGGTCACTTGACTCCAGGAGGGTCATCATGCTCAACATCTCAACTTCTTGGCACTGCAACTTTACCACTTTTACATGAATTACCAATGTCCAACTGTTAGCTGGATGACCCTCACCCCCAACCCCCTCGAACTAATATTAGAAACGGTACTGAGAAAAATATATATATATTCATGAGGTGGACGTGTACGGGTTGGATTGCAAAGAAGAGCCTTTAAAAAAACAAAGCTTTCAAAAGCTTATGTACAGTCTCAGAAAGTAGTTGTTGAAATGTGTAGTGGTGACTGAGGTGTGTGTGCGTGTGTGTGTGCGAAAGATTTGTACATTTGAATTCCAACGTAACGACGCACAGGTGAAACCGAGCCGTGATCCACTGTTGTCTCTGAAGGTGACCCTGGAGTGTCTGCGCATGGTCAGCTGCACATTCTGAATGAACTGCTGTTTGTAAAACCGCTACGTCTAATAAAAGAGACAAACTAAACAAAGTGTGAGTTCTGTGGGAGCGGGCGGATGTAACTGAGCAATAAAGAGGTGAGTGTGCTGTTTAACCTTCAATCAACTCAAGCTCCACCTTTCCCTCGGCTTTAATTACTGAATGGAATTAATCTACTCAACGCCGATATCCCGCTTATTGAATTGAGTGATTAAGCTTTCACGTCTCAATCAATTATATTGCTACTGGTTAATTATGAAATGAGCCGCAGTATATTTCTGGAGATTTGTTCGATGCAGCACAGCCTCTGCTCCGCTCGTATTCCATTAAATCGGATCCCTCCTCTCTTTGAAGGCATTTTTTGTCATTACTCCTTAGGTCAACCCTGGCTGCAGACCTGAAGGCTGCGGATTAATTCATGTCTAATTAGGTAATTGCCATGGTGCCAGTTTTGATTAAGAAGCGCAAGTGCTGAGCAGAGCTGAGCGAGGCAACACGTTACGGGTTTCACACTGCAGGTTGTGTTTGTGTGTTGGGATATCTGAAGCCCAAGCTTCTGGGGTATGTCAGTCCTACAACAAAAAAAGTGAAAATAAGGATATAAAAGTCAGGAAAGGGGCTGTAGTTAAATATATGGGACAAATAAAATAGTGAGTGGAGTCATTGGGAGGATGGACACAATATTGTGTTCGAAGCTTAATTGTCGAAGGTAAACCGTTTGATCCACAATGGAAATGTAGTACGTCAAACCATGTTATCATATGAAAGCTGAGACCTGAATCCGTGCAGAACCAGGAGACACAACCTGATATTACCAATTTCACAGCTGATTGACATCCAGCAAATGAACAGAAACCAAAGTTTGTGTCTTTCCTGATGTAACATAGGCAGCCTTCTCCCCATGCCTGGCTCTCATAAAATCCATCCTTTATGCCGAGAATGTTTTACAAATACATCCAGGTTTTCTGTCAGAGCGCTGCTGCTGATTGGAACCACGTGGTTAATCTACTCCTTGCTTCAGCTTCGGTGACAGATGACAAATGCTATCCGTTGAACAGGGCGTGAGGCCCTCCCAGGACGGATCTGAGGGGGACCAGTTAACACCTCTACCCTCCTGCACACATGCCAATATGACCAAACTAATAAAACAGTGGTAAATGAACAGAGAAATTCAAACTAGTATCATCAAGACTTTCCCCTTGTCTGCGCTTTAGTAGGTTTCCACAGGTTCTCTTATGACCCACGAAGTCTTCAACCAAACTCCAGATTTGTTTCACATGTATTTACCACCACATGTCCTCCACCCCCTCTGATCGCAACCATTCCTCTTTGAAGTCATACTAAGCCCCCTCCATTTTCTTGCCTACGTGTTGATTTAGAGCTACACATCGGGCTGTCGGGCTGTGCCTCTGTAGCTGCAGCTCTGTTTCGACAGATCGGACCACCTTGGTTTCAACAAACTTTGTCCGAGGTTGTCAGCACTGAATCACGTGCACCGTTGGAAACCACAGGCCGTTAAAACTGAGATGCAGAGTGGAGGGTTCCCAGTATTTCCAAATGAGAAAACAATTAGATCATTTCTATAATTCATGGGTGCGACCACAGCTCTGGCCCAGGGAGGCTTTTGAAGTGCTCCATATGCTCACGATGGTTTCCTGGCCCGACCTGCTCCGTGGAGGCTGAGGTGTGGGCAGGTAATGTGAACAAGCCATTATGGAGCATAAAAGATTTATGGGTCTTGCAGGTGGGCTGTCTGCAAAGTGTCTGGATGGGGAACAAAAAGGTTGGAGGTTTCTCTGGTAAGCACTCCTGCACATTACGCATTTCTTTTTACTTGTGAAAAAATCACTGGTCATCTAAGAGAACAGTTTCACTATGAAACAGTCATTGTGCTGAACCTGTGTAAATAAAGTTGTTATAAGTTATGGAGCAACATTTGCCGCCATTTGGAATCATGTTTGTGTCCACCTGGATGTAAATAGACCTACAACATTAACCCTTTTTTTGCTCTGTTTTTAGTCTCCACTATAGAAAAAATATAGTAAAAATGGGAATAGTTGCACTATTAGCATTTTTACTTAAAACTGAAAGATGTTTTTGGATTTGTATCGTGGAAGAGGTGGCATGTGATATTTTTTTGGACTGCTTTAGTCGATACCCCGACCCAACCTAAATCAAAACAAACTGCTCCTCCGGCAACGTTAGTGAGGCCTCTTGCTACGCTGGTGCTACCTTCTGGTCTCTGATGACAACTGTGGCTCACAGTGAACCCTGTTCACTTAGCAGGCGATGTGTTGCCACCAACCTGGAGGCAGCAGATGGCTCAGCTGAGTCGGTGTGGGTTTCAGTCAGGTTACGATCCACCCATGCTGTTTAGTGCAGCCTGTGCGTTTAAGCAACCTGAGAGGGTCTCTAAAGTACTAGTTCATCCAAGTGTCATACAGCCACTGAGATGGTTGTGACATTGTGTTCTGTGGATTATGCGTGCAAAAGCTGACACTATTGAAAAATAGATACTTGGATTTGAGAAATGTTGGATCACGCAATTCCCCTAATGCAGTGGTTCCCAAACATCTTCCATCAGGGCCCTTTTTCAAGGTATAGGAACATTGAAAAAATGGGTAATTCGTTCTTTGTTCTTCTTTATTATGTTTGTAAAATAAGTACATACCACTTCCTCTTTACATTTTGTAAAAATACTTTCAAGGGACAAATATGCCTTATTGAACTTTCTAGCTTTTACCTTTTTTCCGGCCGTTGTTGAGATGGTTGCGTTGCCATCTTATTGCAGCTTGCTACCAATCACATCTTTAATGTTGCTTGTTTTCGCTGTCTTTCTGATGCTGTGCGTCTCCTCCCCTTTGCTGCGCTCGTGCTCTGTAAGATGAGCCGCTCTAGGGGGCGTGGTTTGACACAGCAACTGTCAAGTCCTCATGTCGGTTTCGCCCCCCCCACCCCCCCGCCCGTCGGTCCACCGTGCCCCCCTGAGAGAAGTTCCGCCCCCCACTGCCTTAATGCAACACCCGTCCAATATCGAAGCTCTTAAACCTGATCGGAGATTGCTTTTTCCTATATGTTTAAAAAGCTCCTTCACAGCTTTGTAGATGACGTAAGACTATTTAAAAAACCCATTCACCCATTCACACCCATTCATTCGCTGATGACCTGTATCCCAGCTGCCACCAGTAACTAACATTCACACAAATGACAGTGCTCCCACTCGCCCTCAGTGATGCACCCCAAACTTGGTCTCATGGACTCATAACACCCAAACTCCCATGTGTGCACACCATCAGAGGTGCATGCTAACCCTAACCACATACTGCCGATAGTCTGGGTAATGAAGCTTTTCCGGCACACTCACTTTCTTGCGGTCCCTTCTCCACATGATCAAAGATGGCGTGAGCACCTTCAAGCCTAACGTCGTGTGAAAGAAGAAGCGGGTCTGGTTTCACAAAATAACTCATTCACCTGCCGCGCTTCAATTCACCGTTCTCCTTTCCCCCCCACGTGTGCTGTCATAGCGGCGCCGCATGGCGGACTGGGCTCTCGCATGTATGGCAATGCTAAGTAAGCGTCTACGTATTCCAAATGTCAGGCCGGCTCCTCGTCGTTATTAATGAGCTTCAGGCAGCAGGAGTGGATCATTTTCCATGGAAATTCAATGCATTTTAAATAGTGGATCAACATTCCAGGCCGGGATTTACATAAGGTAATTGCAGGACCCTGGAAGTACCTTGTTGCTGGCAATGGATTTTTTTTCTTCTCTCCTTACCTTCAGTAATAGAATCAAGTCCATTAAGTGGGCAATAAATACAAAGCCAACCCGTATGAGCGTCCCATGACAGATAAGGGCCCATCTCCAGCATATCTATTGGTTCACCCTTGGACAGATACAGCTACTGTTAGAGCAGCTCCACATTAAAAGTGGGGTTGTCTCCCACTATGATGGAGTATTGGGGGCAGGCGGTGCTAGTTAGCGAAGAAGAGAACGGAGAGGCCGGGCCCCGCGTTGCACCTCTCCAAGGTGTCCAAGAATCACCTGAAGACATCTTTCTTGGCTTTGTTCAACTGGTGGTTATGACATTTTTCCACCTCCCAGGATAGAATATTAACATTAAAAATGTCTGCCGCCCCCACCCCCCCCCCACACACCCTTCTGCCCAGGCCTAAGGTGGTAGTTAGCCTCTGTTGCTCCCTGACACGGCCTGCTCTGCAGCTCATTAGAGAAATGGGCTGAGCCGCCTGACTTCCATCCCCAGAGGACTCTGGGATTATGTGTTGGTGGCGGGTCATTTTTTTGCTGTTGTATGAGGATTGGAGGATGGGGGGTGGGCATTAAGTGATGATTCCAAAACAGAGAGTGCTGATTATTTCTTTTGATTAAGACCGATGGAGGAAAGGAGTTGGGAAATAAGAGCAGCAGTGAAGCCATCCTCCAACCTGGATGGAGATGTGAGGTGGAGGTTGGCCGTGATAACAACTGACAGCGAGACAGACAGAACTAGGTGCTCTGATTAATATGAAGGTGGGGGGGGGGGGTCTCATTAGCACGATTGGCTCCGGAATCTGTTAGCTAACAGCACATGTATTCCCCCGGTGGAGCCTTTCTTCACCCAGGCTGTAATTAGGACATTTCTTGCGCGGCCTTTTCAACACAGCTGTCTGATTGGAGGAAAGGACCAATGCGTAATTACAGTTGCCCTGGGCCCCGCCGCCGCCATGGGGGAAGGGGGGGGGCTACCCTAAACAAATCACAAACAAGAATTTAATTAAAAGGATCAACAGCCCAACACTCGGTCGTGAGCTTTTCTGAAGCGGAGAGTAACTTTTCTCTCCCTCACCGCAGGTAGACCTTTTCCGGGGGAGGGCCGGACTACTTTGCCAGCTCTGTCATAAGCTCATTGGATTTGCTCCTGTGCCAGCGTCTTACTTAATTAGCTTGCACATTTTTACGGGCATAAATTGCTTTTACCTCACTGCCAACGGAGCACACCGCAAAGTGGGTCGATCATACATATTATGTTGATCTTCCTTGGCGCGGTTAA